AAGAGATAAAGTAGATTTTAAGAACTACCCCATATTTTATCTCTGATTAGTTCACTCTAAGGCAGGGTTCCCCAAGCTTCTTCAATGGCACCTGTACAGCTCCTCCCTCCCTGCCCTGTTAAAAAAACACAACATAAAAATGGGGAAATACTAGGGTACCAGGTTCTTCTTCCGGTTCCTAAACCTGCCACAGATCAGCCATACCACAAGCAGGAAAAGAAAGCAAGGGAAAAGAGTAGAATGGGGTGAAGTTGCAAAGCTAAAGGCTAGGAGCGGGAAGAAATAGTAAAGTAAAGAAGTAGGAGAGAGGAGATAAATAGCAAGGCTAGGGGCTGGGAGTGGTGAGAAACTTTAAGACAGAGAGGTGAAGTGGAGAGAAAGTGCAAGGCTAGGGGCTTGGAAGCAGGAGAAAAAAGGCGGCAGGGGATGAAGAAGGAAGAAAGCAAGGAAAGTGATCGGGGGAGAGAAACAGCAAGACTAGAGGTTGGGAGGAAAGAGAGAGCTCTCACAAAGGAGAAAATTCTGTGTGGATGGAAGAAGACTGGTTGAACCAGGAAGTTGTATATTTAGAGTTTATTTGGTTGTATAGTATGCTAAGTATTTAGTATATTTATTTCCATTTTCCCTCCCTCCTAGCATCTAGCCTTTTTATTTCTTTCCCCCATCCCCAACACTTCTTGACTAGCTAGGGCCAAGACCCTCATGGCAACTATTATATGACTAGCCACATCCTCTGTGACAGGTACTTTGTGACAGTGGCTACAGCAGTTTCTCAAATTCCTAGATGAGCCCATGAGTCCAAATATATTGGAAACCCTTAGACTATACCATATGTGACATCAAGGCCTTTCCCAAACTGATGCTTTGGATGGTAGGTCCCATCATCTTTATTGCTGTTTCACCCATACAACATTGTGTGGTATTAGAACAGGGGTAGAAAATTGCTGGTCTGTGGGCTCCATTGAGCGTTCAGGCTTTCCTGTATGGAATATTTCCCCTGCATAGCAGCTAATGATATTATGCATCTCAGATCCATAATATCCAGGCAAAGGGCTTTTCTTTTCCTTCCCAGTATTAACAATGGAGGCTTTAGCAAGTGGAGTCTTTGAATGCAGTCTCGTGTCAAGAGCATTCTGAGTGCCTTTGACTGCTCTCCTGTGTGTGAAAGAGCTTTGAAGACATGCCAATGAGACTTCTCCTCCTTACCTGAGCTAGGGAGATCAGTGATGCTGTCAGATTAGGAAGTGTTCTTCAGCCACAACACAGTTTAATATGCACTGGTGCCAGCTCTTCTGGACCAAATAAAGTTTTTAATTAATGCAAGTAAGTGCCTGAAAAATCCATATTGGTGCTTATTCATATGCAAAGACTCAGCTCCTCATCCCTGACATTTTCATGCCTTAATCCATGTCTTGGTGAATCAAGTGATAAAACATCTGATTTTTTCTGCATCCCACAGGGGAAATAGACACAAGGGTAGAACAAACCTGGTAAGAGAAGCTGCTGATACAGAGTCTGCTACAACAGGGTGGGCAGGCTTCAGGCTGTGGGACCTGATCTCTTTTAGGACAGAATTCCAAGATCCTTCAACTGGAACCAGGTGCAAAATAGTGACTCAGGCAGGTGGACATGTGCTGTTTTTTTCAGCATCCAAAGGTGTTTGCGGTATGTGTGTACTTCATTAGCTGTTGCTACTTTAGAAACACTTGCCAACCTACCACAAATCTCTGAGAAATCCACCTGGTTTCTCTCTTCTCCTCTTCTCCAAAGGTCAATGCTCCATTTGAAGGTCTGGCAGAAAGGTGTCTTCTGTTTTGAAATTGACCTGTTTGAAGGGCTGCCTAATACAAGCATAGAGAACCCTCAGATTTGTTGCTCATCAGATGTTAAGACCAGAACAGCCAACTGAACAAACAGGTCTGGTCACAGCCTTCCATGTCGTTGCAATGCAGATTCCTCTTTAAATTGTGTGTGAATTTGCACCTATATATAAGCACATACAAATCAGTGTATTCTTTCATCCTCTTTTCAGTGATGCCTCTAGATCTACCAGTAGATCCCAGTTTATCTCTGCCCACTGCTGCTCTAGAGCTGCAGAGGGTGGGCAGTATCTCTCATGTCAGTCACACAGCTTAATAGCCAACGTTGACTTTGGCTTAGAGAATATTCCACAGTCTTCTTCAAGTAGAGCTCAGTAGCCAAGGCCCAAGTTTCTTGGCTGATGACATCCAGCAGTTTGCCAGTTTTGCTTACCCCATGCCCCACTCTTTTTCTCTATTTTGGTTTCACTTTTTTCTAGGAGCACTGAAAGAGTCAACCCCAAAGACCTAAGATAACTGGGCCCTCTGGATGCTTTGGACTGCAGCTCCCATCACCCCTTATGCTGTTGAAATTTGGAGTCAAAAACCTCTGGAGGATAAGGCTGTGCAGAAAACCTGGGGAGGGAAGCAAGGAGTTGGACGCTATGAACAGCAGGGGCAATTTCTTTGCTATTAAAAAGTGGTGGCAGCACCTAGCTCCTCCAGAGACAAAAGTACTTATATGTAATTATGCCTATCCACTCATGTAAAAATGCCTGTTTGCCTTGTTGAGTGGTATTTAACATTTTTTATCAGCTTATGTCAATGTGGCTACCTCAAAAAGATCCTAGCAGTAGTTATCCATCCTCTTGTAACCTTCTGGTTGGATTACTGTGATATGTTCTGTGCCAAATACCTTTAAAATGGTTTAGAAACCAATTTGTTCAAAATAAACCCTCCCAGTCCATTTCAAACCCAATTCGAAATGAAGGTGTGAACCTTTAAGAGCTAAAGGCTTGTGACTGGAGTCCTAAGCAAACCTTTCCTTCCATCTTTCCCTGATTAGGTACTTAGGTCCTTTTTGGATACCCTCTTCTGGATGCCTTCATCTAATTAAGTTAGGTGGGTAAATTTAAAAGATGTGTTTTTTCAGTGTTGTCCCCACTTATGGAATGTACTCCCCAAAGGAGGCTGGCCTGGCACCAAAACGACCTTTTCAGTGCCATGCAACTATATTCTTCTTTTCCAGACATTGTAGAGTCTATGACAGTCTATATGTAGAGACTCTCTCTCTGTCTCTCTTTCTCTCTCTCTCTCTCTCTCTCTCTCTCACACACACACACACACACACACACTATATAGACTATATAGAGTCTGTATTGCATTCCATGTGCTGAATGTGTTGCTAAGGTCTAGAAGTACAATAAATTGGTACAGAACCTCACATTAAAAGCAGCGCAGCACTGTAAATGGCAATGTCATATTAAGTTTAGAATAGGTTAACTAGCTATAATCTTGGTCTTCTTGCTTAGCAATTTAGAACAGCTCCTCTTCCGTGTTCTGATACAATGCTGTCATTTTCCAAGCATGTGAAATAGTTGCGCTGAAGTGCACAACCTTGTAACACTGCGGACAAGTTCTACTCCATGTACAACTGGGTATATGTACAACTGAGTAGTGAAAAATTTGCTTCTGCCACAAAGAACTCAAGACAAAATTGTTCCTAAAGGACCAAGGTAAGAAACTCCCAACATCCCTGTTCATGTCTCACAGACAGAAGTAGCAGTTTAGAATCTAGGTAATACTGTAATCTAGACAGCTGTTCTCCAACCAGAAAGGTCACAATCTACACAGCTTGGGATCACAATACCTGATGGAACACCTCTCCCAACCAGAATCTACCCAGACACTGCAATCAAGACCTGGGGCTTGCATTTAATTGCTCCCTCCAAGGGAGGTTCAGTTGGTGGCAACAAGGAGGGCCTTTTCCATGGTGGCCCACTGGCTATGGAACCAGTTTCCCACCAAGGGATGCCTGGTGCCAAACAATCTCTTTTTGGTGCCAGGTTAAGACTGTCCTTTACCACAGGGCAATTAGTGTTCTACTATATTGGAGCTTTGTTAGTTGCTTAAACAGGTCTTGTGATTCATTTGCATAAGCTACTGCAGCTTTTTAACATTTGTTTTAAATTTGGTTTTAATAAAAGCTTACCATACAAAAATCACATTTTTATAGCTGTCTGTATTTTATGTTCCATTGAAACTAGACTTCTGTAACGCGCTCTACGTGGGGCTACCCTTGAAGACAATCCGGATACTTCAATTGGTGCAAAACAGAGCTGCCAGGTTGCTGACGGGGACTGGGCGTTGTTCTCATATAACCCCAGTTCTCCGTCAGCTTCACTGGCTCCCTATTGAAGTCTGGGCCCAATTCAAGATGTTGGTTATGACATATAAAGCCCTTAACGGCTTGGGACCTGGTTACCTAAAGGAACGTCTGCATCCATATATGCCCTCCCGCCCCCTACGATCGGCTGCGGATGCCCTTCTCCGGGAACCCTCTGTGAATGATATTAGGACGGTGAGTACCTGGAGGAGGGCCTTCTCTGCGGTGGCGCCCCACCTATGGAATGTGCTCCCCAGAGAGGTCCACCTGGCGCCGTCATTATTTGCTTTTCGGTGCCAGGTAAAGACCTTTTTATTTAAAAGTTATTTTAATTGTTAATTTATTATTGTATTTATAGATTTTAATATATATAGCTGAGATGGTACCAGTTTTTAAATTATTAATTGTATTATTAATGTTGTAAGCCGCCCCGAGGCTTTGTTGCGATGGGAGGCATAGAAATGTTTTAAATAAATAAATAAATAAACTGCCCAGGGAGCTTTGGCTATTGAGTGACACTGGTCACACCTGGAGACCAGAAGCCAGGATTCTTAGTTTATGGTGAACTGACAGCGAAATGTTGTGGTGCAGTAATCCACACCTCCCCCAGTAGTCACAATCCCCATTTTTGCACTAAATATTACAGAACCAAATTATCGAAACACTGTAAACACTCTAAATCCCTGCACAAGCATTATACCTTTATTACAAATTATTGATGGCATTAGTTGAGTACAATGAGAACACAGTCTGTGTTGCATAGCTGCTCCAATATACAACTGCGTACCCTTCCTCACAGTAACCACAATTAAGTTACTTTACATATCCTCTACACATCAGGTCTCTGCAATCCAACTCAAATACATTCAGAATCTTACATGCGCTTACTTTATAGTCACTTTGTAGTGACCATGGCTGGGAACTGATTTAGAACATTATAATGGTAAGTACAGCATTATTCATATACTAGTAAGAAACAATTCATTTATTTGGTACAATTCAAGTAATTACTAAGTGTTGTTTTTTTAAATGCACAGTGCTCCGGACCGTCCCACAACTAATGTGTATAGCACTAGTAACCACAGGTCAGTTTGTTACACAGAATGCTTTGCACTCTCAGTGTGGTTAGAAGCAATACCTCTGCAGTAATGTAAAGTTACAACATATTTGGGGAAGAGAGGAAACAACACTATTTAATTGCCTGCCTGGCTCTTCCTGCCATGAGTTCTTGTAATACACACAGAGCTGAATGTTGTATTCTTTTCCACTAGCATGAAGTTACTGCGGATCATTTTCAGTTGGCACATTCTGTTCTTCATTTGGGCTGTGTTTACTCTTAAGGGACCTTCCAATGTATCTCCAATATTCTTTCCGTATTATGTCTTTTTCTTTAGCCAGGGTTTCACATAACTAGAGTAAGGAAAATAACAAGTTGTTTAAAAATAGTATTCACATAGTTATTATTCACTATAGAACACCCATGTATGCATTTATGTGTGTGTCATCTTTTACAAAGTAATATAAGCAAAGACAACAGGTTCCTGCTCCAAGGAGCTTACAACAGAATGGGAGACAACGCTCATTTGGTTAACAAGAAGAATATCGCAGTTACATAAATTCCTTGTTTACATCTCAACAATCTAAGGCAGGACTTTTAGGGATCAATTCTACAGCTGATTTCTTAAATGTATTATTTATATTGATTAAAAAAACATTTCTGTGCTGATTTATGGCCCTCAAAAGGATCGAATCCTCTATGGTTAACTTTTCTGTGAAACACCCATCAAGCGTCCATAGAAATGCTGATGCAGCAGTCATACCTGGCACTGCTGATTTTATTTTAATAGCACAGTGATTTTATTTTAACTAGCTGTCAAGATAGCTCAGGAATAGGGTCGCAGCAAAAAATACTCAACTACCCGATTTCCATCTACCCGAATTGGCCTATGAAACCTCTATGGGTAGACAGCCAGCATATTGTGGCCAGAATGCTGGTTTGTCCAGGACAACCCTGGTCCGCCAAAGACAAGCTCAGTAAATGACTTTGGAAACATGACTGTCTCTTGGTGTAACATCACAGATGTTGAGAGATAAATCCTATAAACGTTGCCTTGAGCTTGGAGTAGGGATGGATCCCTGTGCAATTAAAGGTTGGACCAGTTTTGTGAAGGTTAGGGTTGGCCTCTTAGCTAAAAAGTCAAGGCTGTTCTACGTATTATGCCAAATCAGGTCTGGAATGGTGGACTGTACCACTAGACTGCAGTGGGGGGGGGGGGGGGGTCATCTTTTGGAACACTAAACATACATAACACATTTCTGCATGTAGTAAAAGAGAATATCAGAAGTGCCTAGTGCAGCCCCCTTTTATGTGCTTGCTTCATTAGTATATGCTGAGAGCGGGCCTTAGAAAAATGAACCCCTATTCTACCTACTGCAGACTGAAGCATTTCCCCATAATTCTACAAAGTCACTCCACATTAACTTTTTGGCACCGCTTCCTAATCCTCATCCACTATTATAATTAAGACTAAGTATGCGTGCATGGACTGAGGGTGTATTTTTCCCAATTGACACATCCTCATTTCCCTCAGTTTTGTTTATTTCTAGACTGTAAGCCATGCAGGGCAGGGGCTTGTCCTTTCATGATATGCACGAGAACATTATAGCAGCACCTAAATGAGCAGCAATAGCATCACCACACTGTTTTGGAGTGCACAGTAAGTTCTTCTGAGATTTATCTGTATATATCAAGACTTTTCCCTTCTCCAAGTGGAATATTCTATTTAGCTCATTTGGCAGTTCAGTCTGGCTTTTAAGATTTGGCAAAGGAATTGAAACACACAGAGTTCCCCAATCCTCTTAATGGACACTACATAAATACAGCTTTCTATCCTTTCTAGTCTGTTTCCTTTCTTGTACAGAAGACTGTGTCCTACTGGCAGACTACAATTTCTAGCCAAGGCTCTAAAATCAGTCACTGTTACTAAAACAATAACTAGCAAATACAATGCTAGATCTAGGAAGACAGTAAGTTGGAAGGCACCTTTGCAAATTCTGCCATTTGCGTGTTAAAACAGACACTAACTGGCTGGTAGTCATTAACAAAAAGTCAGCAGTTGTATTATGCAAGCAATGAGAATCAGACACTTCTTCAAGTACATGGAATAACATATAGGGGAAAGGGGTAACACACATACACATATACAGATACACATGGGTACACACAAAGAAAGCAAGCATGTGCGGAATACCCTTGGGCTAACATGCCAGAGATAATACATTTTCTTTGTAGCAGACATCAAACAGGCTAATAATTGGCATGCGTGAAACCAACAGTGACAGCAAATATACAATGCAGCGTATTAATATCACTGCATTTAGACAAATGCTACTTTCCCCAAAATTAACTCCCAGCTTGCACTACACTGTGCAGAAATCTTTATTTACAATTCTGCAAAAATGAAAAACTTGGTGAAATATTATAGAAATGCCTCAGTTTGAGTTTGTTCAGTGCACCAAAATTTGATATAATTGGCAAACTGATACACTAGGTTTCAATTTCTTTAATTTCTATAGGAGAATAAAGACAGTCATCATTACAACCTGCTTATAGTTACCAAATAAACTATAAACAATAACACAGGCCAGAAAAAACAACTTCAAAAAACACCCCCAAAAAACTAACCTCTAGTGCATTGTTAAGAATTTCTTCTTTGTTTTCGCACTGGTTTTCTAGCATGTCTTCATATATGTCCACCAAAAAGGCAATTAAATAGGGAGAACTGTGACTCGGCTGCAATTCTAGAAGTTGCTCTAAGAGATTTGGATATTTTGAAAGGCCACGATCTTGCAGAATCCTGAAACAAAACCAGTCACAAACATCACACTGATTTTCATGCCGTCACCACCCGATTGCTGTACAGTAGTTAACGCAACATTTCCTATAAAACCTGAGGTATAAGAACAATGAAAAGCAAGCAGTTAGTAATCAGCCTGCCAAGATTTTGCAGAAGCCTTTCTGGAAAGGTCGTAAAATACATCCTTAACCTGCAAACATCTCAACAAGAATCAGAAATCAGTGCTGCATATTCAGAGTAGTGGGAAGAGCCTTCCCTCTGCAAGGTCAGCTATGAAGGAGACACAGGAGCTGGATCACCACAGGTCCTGTGTGCAACACCTGTATGTACATGAACTTATCAGAAGTATGGGGCATTTCTTAAAGTGTTCAGCTTTGCAGTGGGGATATCTTACTCCACAGCCCATTGGCTTACTCCTCCAAATAGTGCCAGGGAACAGAGAAGAACAATTACCTTTGCTAGAGCCAGCTCCAGGGTCAGGCTGCAGGCACAATTCGTGCTGATGGCCCCATCTGCCCCTCCTAGGATGCTTCCCATATACAGAATTAGCACACACACACACATATACAAAGGTGTGGCTGCTTCAGTGGTGAGCCTGGATCTCATGTTCCCTTGCCCAGTGTATGCCTAGGAGATGGACCGACATGGATCAAGTAGCTATCGCTATACTCGTGGCTCCCTCCTCACCCCCCGCCCAAAGACTCTCCCAGACTGTTAAAGTGGAGCTGGCTCTCTCCAGTCTTAGCTACTCTCATGCCTTGGCTCAAGAATCCATTTTGTTCCCCAAGTCATGACCTGGAAGCTGCCAGGAATATAGCTGAAGTTTTGGAACTGCTAAAGAGGCACACTGTACACACCTCGTTTCTCCTTGGATGAATGAAAGAAAGCTCTTCCCTACGCTGGGGAAAACACACAATGCCTACCTCAATGCCAGGCCACCACCCAGCAAAGTAACCCACAAGAGTCCTTTGGTGCTGCTGAATCAAACACCCTGGCAGGAGAAATAGTCCAATTCCAAATCATCTCCAGCAAGGCCTACTGCTACCCAAGTCCCATTAACCCCACACCATCTGGCATTTTGAAGACTGGGCTATGCTACTTAGCGGCATCCAGGTAAGTGCAAAATTAAGAGGTAAGGAATTTCTCTGCACTTTCCACTTAGTGATGAGCATAGACCTACTGCTACCTTTGGTTTATGTCACCTTGGCTGCAGCCTCTGAGCATATTTTCCCTTCCTTGCAAACCCTGTAACTGCCTCGGTATTTGGCAGTTTGAATGCTCGCAAGTTTCAGCTCTGCTCCAAGATTTAAGCCAGAGTTTACGTGTTCCTTGTGACTCATTCCTAGCACTTCTACTGCTTCAACGCTTTATGCACGTTTCAACAGCCAAAGAACCCTGCTTCTTTCAGTGGGCACCACCCATTACCTTGTTTGCCCAGTGAGATCTGCTGCCTTGTTTACCCAGACAGAAAGCTTTAGTTATACCTCGTAAAGTACCTATCGAGTCCGGGATCCGGTTTTGGTCATAGCACAGCAACCCTATCAGCTGTGTTACCAACTCATTTTGGTTGTCTATGCAGGGCATTGTATTCCATGCTTCCTTGCTTAGTTTGTTTGTTTATTTATTTATTTAAAACATGAATATCCCCTTTTGTATCTGATCAGGATCTCTAGATGGTCTTATGTGCTCAATCCCAACTGAGTGTGGGATTGCAGAGAACCTATTCCGAAGCTGCTGCCAAAGAGCTCTGGTCAGTTTTGATCACTTTTCCAAGCCCATTTCCAAAGTTCTCCACTCCAATTTCAAATTCTTCATTTAGTCAAATTGTGACAGCTCCAACACCTAACAATAGTGGACCCTCCATATTCACTATTCAGGAAAGCAAGAACCCAACTCCGTATGAATCTATCCTCTGTCTGCCTATGTTCTGATAACCTGGCATGCAACAGGGCTAGAGAAGCATGCCACTTTTTCCCCATCTTGCTTTGCAATTAAGAGCTGAGCACTTCAATAATAGTCTGTGCTGATAGAATTTTTCTAGCTTTTGGCAATCCTCAGGTGAAGTCTTGTGCTTTCTCTAAAATCCAGTAATAATAACCATTCCAAGTTGATTTTCTTTTTATTTCTTCCAGGACTGACTTCTGCTGCATGGCCCACCATTCTTGCCTGCATTCAAGCTTCTTGGCCAAGTAGCCTTCCAATCTCCTGCATGGCCACTTTGAGAGCCCACCTTCCCTTCCTTTGCTTGTCAACATTAATTTCCGCAACTTGTTGTCATTCCTGCCTCTTTACAAGTTAGGTTCAAAAGAACAAGCATATTGGCCCATGTGTTAGTAGGTGGCTATGGTAACTGAATGTGGATATGTACACTTCTGAAATTAGAGAGCTATATAAATAAAGGACTCGGAACAAGCATCTGAGCTAATTTCCCGTCTAAGTAGTAGACATCCCCCATTTAGAAAACACATAAAGCACAGGATCTGCTGTTTGCAGGCTACACCTCAGGTTAAAGACTGCCCCTAAGAGCTGCCTTGCTACCACCTGTGCAACCACACACAAGTCACATGCCCATGTGACTAAGAAGAGGCACTGCACTGTGAGGAGTCACGCAAGGCTCAGCACACGCATCCTCACGAGTTCAGGTGATATGCTGCTGTAAATTCCTGCAACATGTTCAGCCCCCTAACACTCAAGATCTGTCTGTCATTTTCCATGGTAGTTACTATGGATAGGATGCACAAGACAATGTTCAGCTGGCTGGTCTATTCATGTGGAAGAAATATGTGGGCCTAGGAAAACCCTTTTGCTAAGCCCTTAGGGGCAAGCACATTGCATTGATGAATTGCAACAACTTCTGTAAAGATGGAGCTCGCTATTGCTCAACCATCAGGAAGGATAACAAGACAGAAAGGATGACACACGTATTGAGGACTGATTGTTCTCTTACCCCTTTAAAAAGAGGATGTTGTGCCTGCCCGCCCCTTGAGAGCTGAGGCAGAGGTCCTTCTCCAGAAGCTCTCTCTGAAGGAAATGAGGAGGGTAGCTACTTGGAGAAGCGCCTTTTTGGCGGTGGCACCCCAACTGTGGAACACGCTCTCCAGGGAGTTTTGCCTGGTGCCACTGCTTTATTCTTTTCAGGGTCAGGTGAAGACCTTTTTATTTTCCCAATATTTTAACAGTTGATTGATTTTATCCTTGATTTTATCATCATTTATTGAATGCAGAGCGTTGTGTGTTGTTTGTTGTATACGGTTGCTTTGTTTTTTGTGTTTTTTGTAAGCCATATTTTTTAGCATTGGACGGCATATAAAAACTTTAAATAAATAAATAAACCAGATGAACATCAACAATCAGTTTTGATGATCCTCCCTCTGCTGCTTTGGACTTCCTTGCAGATGCCTAATATTGCCAGAGCTGCCATGTTCAGCAGCCATTTTGTGTGTTTCTTCACAAGCAACTTGGCTAAGAAGGTCCTGTTCTGTCTGGAAAGGATTGAGCAAACTAGGATTCGAAGGTGCATTTGAAAATTCCCCATCAAAACCATCAATGACCAATCTTCCTCTGGTTCCTGATCTAATCAAAGTAGTAACTATCAATTTTCTCTGGAGAGCTCTGAGATTTCAAGTTACCTCTTCAAGAAATATTTCAAGCAGTTAAAAGCCTAGACCACTTTCTTCCTGTTCAGCAGGAGCCAATACACTCTTTTTGATACATCTGGAAAAGGCCTTCCCAGGGCCATCTGTTTTGTTATGAATGCTGCCTTCCTAAGATCTCAAAGATATTTCAAGATAAATTCTACGAGGTTTTAAATCAACAGGAACTTCTGAAGCTATGCATTGGCAGACACCCTGCCTGATTAGACCTTGGATTCCCTATTGAGTCCCTACTTTTAGCTTGTACATTCTTGCCATGGTAGAGGTAGAGGCAAGGATTCTTGCCTTCCCTTTAGCTTTCTTTTGGATTAATCTGGATGCTGCAGAACCTCTGCTCCTCCTCATGTCTGAGCAGGAAAGAACAGTATTAGTATTCTCCCAGTACCCCAGTTTTATTGTGTTTTAATTTGTTTTTATGGAGTCGTCTCTGGCCATGTCGACGGTTGAGTTTCCTGGGGAGCGCGTGGGCGCCGCCATTGGGGTGGTTACGGGCAATGGACGTTACAGCGGTGGGGGCTTAACGTGTCTGCGTAGAAGAAGGAGGGACAGATGGCTGACACCCGTCCCTCCTTCTGGTTCTGCCCCCAGCCAGAGGGTTCCAGGTAGTCTTGTCAACCGCCCCTCGGGCCTGACGGTGCTGCTGCTTAATTCCACGTCGGTCCACAATAAATCTTCCCTCATCCATGACTTGATTGTGGATGAGGGGGCCGACCTGGCTTGCATAACGGAGACCTGGGCGGGAGGGGGGGGGATGTTGCCCTCTCTCAATTGTGCCCGCCCGGGTATCTGGTTCAGCACCGTCCACGCCTGGAGGGGAGGGGAAGGGAGGGGAGGGGAGGGGGGTTACTTTGGTTAACCGAGCCTCCATCTCCCTCATGGGACTTCCAGTCCCTTCAAGACCAGGGCTGGAGTGCCTCTACTTGGTGTTGGGCGATCGAGACAGATTGGGGATTCTGTTGGTGTACTGTGCACCCTTCTGCCCAAAAGACTCCCTGCCTGAGCTGACGGAGATCGTCTTGAACCTGGTGTTGAGGACCTCCAGGATTTTGGTCCTGGGGGACTTCAATCTCCATGCCGAGACTGGTCTGACCGGGGCGGCTCAGGACTTCATAGCCTCCATGACGGCCATGGGGCTGTCTCAACATGTCACAGGCCCGACCCATGAACGTGGACACACACTGGACCTGGTTTTCTCGACGGGGCAGGAAGAGGGTGGTCTGAGGGTGAGGAATTTATGTCTGACACCCCTGTAATGGTCAGATCACTTCCTTGTGAGGTTTGTGCTCGAGAGCGGCCTCTCCCTCTGTAAGGGTGCGGACCCGATTGTGTGGGTCCGCCCCCGGAGCC